AGGGGTAAATCCCAGAGCCCTACATCTATTAAAGACAGACAAGCTGATCTTATTTTGTGAGTTTGTCATTAAAATAAGTCACTGGACCAGTTCTCATTGCTGTGACAGAATAACTAACTGATAAGGCACAACTTGTCCCAAGAAGGGTCTGTTTGGGTTTATCCCAAGGAGGTGTTATACGTCATGGAGTGGTAAGCATGGCAGCAGGAGTGTTGGCAGATGATCACATTGCTCCACAACCAGAAAGCAAACTGGGCTGATAAGTGTCAAGGCCAGCCCTCGGAGAACACGTCCACAGGCACAGTTCTACCTCCTAAAGGTTCCACCACCTTCTACTGTGGTTCTACCAGCTGGGACCAAATTGTTCAGACCCATGTAACTATGAGGGACATCTCACACCCGAGCCACAACAGCCTCCACGCATTTCATTTTCATCTTGACCTAATGGAAAATGCCTTCTTCAGTACCTACAGTATGTTTGCTGTGATGTTCATACTGGCCATAGATGAGTAACTCAGTCACCCGACCTCAACTTGAACGCATCTCCATATTTGGAAACTATGGGTCTCTTTTAAAGTCTCTTTTTCCTGGCTTTCTTCCCAAGATATTTTTCTGTGATAGTTATAAATAGGAACCGGACACCTGCCCCACCCTACCTGAGGAGAGCCTCCTGTCAATCATTCCCTCCATTGCCTCACTTTTCATTTCAGCTGAGCTAACAGTGCGAATTACACCGTATCCACTTACTAACTTCCCTGTTGTTCTCCTGTCTGAAGCTCTGACTCTAATACAAGCTCACCAACTCTTACTTAGCCCAGTCCAAAGCTTTTCAGTGTGCCAAGCAGAGATCCATCCATATTTAACAATCCAAATGTCGTTTTGAACGTGTGAATAAGTGAACAAATGAATAAATGATTGAAGTTCTTAATCCAGAGGCATGTTGCCTTTATAGATATGTAGAGCAAGTAGGACGAAAAGAAGACATTTTTGAGATGTTTCAATTTCATCAGCTGTTCATTATCATTAAAACTTAAGAAAAAAATAAAATAACGGCCATTTTTTAGAGATTTATAGACTTTAGCAATTAATAAAGACATATTCACAGGTGGTGTTTCAGACATTGTTCCCACAGGCAGTTGGAACTTTGAAAGAAAAAGAAACACATGGGAACAAAAACATTGGGCATGGAAATGAAATTTTAAATATGTGCATTTCCAAATTATGACTCAAGGTACCGGGCTGATGCCTTTCCATCTTCTGCCAATAATCCTGGAATGAGGAAATGTTATTCCAGAGATAGATGACTTAATAATGAGGATTTAAAACTTAAATTGTGGACATGTGAAAACAATGCTGGGCAAACGCGTGGGCCTCAGCTCTCTGCAAGTGAAGTCAAGGAGATCAGAGACTCACCCAAGAGAGCCACGTCAAAATGGGGTGCAGCTGAAACTCCAAATGCAGATGTTGAAAGAAAAGGAACAATACACAAACCACAAGTCCCTTCCTACCCTGATTATAGCAGCCTCTGAAAAGAACCACTGGAGTGTTAGCATGTGAAGATAAAACTTGAAAGATGGAAACGGACAAGGGTATGGGCTGCAGAGATAGCTCATGACTAAGATCTCTGACCACCTCCTCAAATTAAATGGAGAGAAACTCAAAGCGATCTCACTGAAATCAGGAACAAGATAAGACTGCCCATCTCTATATATCTGCTTGATATAGTACTTGAAGTTTTAGAGCAACAATACGACTGAAGGAGATCAAGGGGATAGAAACTGAAAAGGAAGAAGTAAAAATATTGCTATTTGCAGATGACCTACATAAGTATAGTATACATAAGCAACCCTAAAAATTCTACATGGAACTCCTACAGCTGATAAACACCTTCAGTGAAGTGGCAGAATATAAGAAAGAGGAGGAGGAAAGGAAGGAAGAAAGAAAGAAAGGTAGACAACTCTCTTATATACAAATGACAAATGGATTGTGAAAGAAATCAGGGGAACAACGCACTTCACAATAGCCACAAACAACATAAGTAAAAGACTTATATGTCAAAAACTTCAAGTCTTTGAAGTTATTATTTGGGGGCTGGTTGGTGGCCCAAAAGAAAAGGCCTACTCTACTACAGGGCCCTAAGATCAGACAAGAGTGGGATACACTTCCTCTCCCCTGTTGGGAGTCCCACAAACACCCCCACAATGACAGCATTGGTTTAAGTGGAAACTGAAACTCCCAGCACTCCCGTCTCAAACCTGCAAACCCACTTCACCAAGGCAAGTTTCAGTTGTATAACACGAGACTGTGGAAAACAGGGCTCTGTGTGAATGTGCACAACACAGCCCTGTCTGTGAAATCTCAAAGTGATGGTATATAAAGCCTTGGCATTGAGAATCATTTAAACAGTGGAGTTAACACACAGCATAAACCCACAAGTATTCAGTGCAGAGCTCCAGCAGTGAAAACCATGCACGCTGGTCCTCAGAGCTCACAGAGTAAACATCATTTCATGGCTAGCCTGAGATGCATCAGTTCCCAGATCTCATAGTGTACAGAAGTGTGGTTACTCTATGTGTCAACCCCATTTAGTTTTAAATCAGAAAGAATTAAACAGTATACGCAGTTTTCTGTAAGAGATCATGTAGCCTGCACAAGATCATTAAGCTGTAGGCAAGCAAGCACATAGCGAGAGGGGCTGATCCAGAATCACAGACAGGGCTGAAAGCTGTGAGACTGATGATAAAAAAACAACTGTGCGTCAACACTGTGATCTAGAGAAAAATCATTTCTTACACACCAGGGTTTACCATTCTGAAAGCACCCTGAATACTTAGGGAAGTGACCAAGCATCTGAATGTTTGCTGTAAGGCTACAGAGGAGGAAGAAGCAGGGAGGAGTTAGGAAGGACCGTATGATGCTGGATTAGCATTTGAGATGTCAATATAGATGCTAATTTAATATGAACACCTACAGGATCCTATAGAACAAGCTGTAGACAACGTCTCCCAGCTTTGTAGCATTCTTCAATTTAAAAAACAAAAAGTGAGCAGAGGTAGGCTGTCAAGATAGCTCAGCAAGTAAAAGCAAGTACCTGAAATGTTGATGGCCTGAGTTTCAGCCCCAGAACCCACAACAGAAGGAAACAAGTGACTCCACGTGCATGCGTAGCACATGTGCACCCATGTGTGCACACATACATGTACACACATATACTCATATACACACATATACACATACACTCACACACATACTGATAAACCCCCAAGCACACACAACGTGTTTTACACACATTACACACAAATAAATAAATATGTAATGAAAAATTTTGAATAAAATCAAAGGGTATACCACCAATACCCAAATTAATTAGTACCCAGTGGCTAAAACTGGAAAAATTCAAGAAACAAAGTAAATAATCATGTCTTAGATTATAACCAGACTACCAACTAAATACCTAGCTAAGCTTCCTGGTATAAAGGTATAAACGTAGTTGAAATTGTAAAGAAATAAAATTTTACATGGAAAAATTCTGAATAATTATGTATGCAAATTTCCCAGAAAGAAGTTTAGCTATATCTCTCATTTCCCAAATTGAGGCTTCATGTAGTAGATTGCCTCCAAAGAAAACAGTATGGACAAAAGAATTGAGGTGTGTGTGACGTGCTAAAGTACAGAAGGCAGTATTGCCTGCAGGAACCCTAGACTAATCTCATCAGGAGTGTAGTACGCTGATGACATGTAGCCTTGTTGTAGTATCTTTAGGGTATCACTTGATGTCTGTGGTTTTTCTGCCTCCTGAAACTCTAAACTGAAGTCTGATCATAAAGAAAGTAACTGTATATTTTAAAGGAATAGAAGAGAGAGTTTTAGATAAACTGACTCTAAAGAAATGATAAATGTTTGAAGAGATATACATGAACACACGTAGTGAAAGGTCACAAGCTACCTCAACAATAGTTGAACAATTTATATGTTTTATGTATCTGTTCTATGAAATTGCAAGAAGAAAAAACTTCACCCAAAACAGTATTTCTCAAAACTGTCAGTCACTAAAAATAATGACAGTGTGAGTGTTGACTTGTGTCATTGGGCAGGCCTTGTTCAGTCAACTATGTTGTTGAGATTTGACAGAGGTAGCATTCCTGTCATGTCTAGAAAACACTACCTAACAATAGGGGTCCTGGTTCTCTGGCTCTTACAAGATTTCCACTCCACTATGAAATTCTTTTAAAAATAAAATTAAAAATAAATCAAAATAAAAAATAAATTTTAAAAAATTTTAGAATAAGGATAGTCTGAAAATTTGTCACTATCCTTAGGACCCAAGGATGTAAATGCTTAAATGCAATGTGGGAGCATGGGCAACAGGAAGGGAAGTAGCTACGGTGTCAGTCAAGTGCGGAGCTTGGCTTGGTTCATTAACCCTGAAAACACATCGTATCATAAAATGCATCAGCCAAGGAAATGGGATGGATACACAGAATGAAGGCGCCATTGTCTTTGCAGCTTTTCCGTTTATTGGAAACCACTATAAAGTATAAATAACGGCAAAGGTGTCATCGCTGGGGTTTTCCCACTGATTGTTAGCTGTATCCTTAAGATGATTCAAGCAGATGTCTTCATGGGTCTTAAAGGGGTGGCAGTCAGGGCTAAATACACAGACAAATGGGAACCAAAGAGTACTCCATGAGCATGCCAGGGGTGCAAAGGATGCTTTACAGTGGAGAACCAGAGAACTTGGGATGGTGAGGACCAAGCCTACAGCAAAGATGTGTAAAACGCTGGCTTCAGGTAGGGAGTGCCAAGGCTCCTTCAACTCCACTCTCCTTGACTGGTTAACCGCCTCCCATAGCATTCAGTCCCTTACAGATAAGGAGAATTGTCGTGTTTAACCCTGCAATCCCATGTGCCCTGTTCTCTGATACACACTCCTGGCACAGCAGCTGACTGAGATTCCATAGGCTCAAGCTGGAGATGTTGAGAGTACAGACATATGGTACCTGATTACACCAGAGGATTTATGGTTCAGCCTGGGTTCATCACGTCCAAACCAAGTGTACACTGATTCAAAGATCTGTTCCTACAGTGGAGATATTCCATGGAGACTTGAGAAGCTGCAAGAAAAAATAAAAACTCTGAAATTTCATGAATATTTAATGTCCGTCATTACGTCAGCAGAGGCATTCTATGCCACTGTGTCTCAAAATTGCATTTGATCCTGTAAAAGGAAAATATGTTTTAAATAATGAAGCTTTTGTTTTGGGATCATCCCAAACAAACTGCCAATAGACTGTGCAGAGAGCTTCTCTGAGAGAGAAAAATCCCAGAATTATTACACTAGCAGAGTAGAGTAGGAGCACACAGAGTGAGAAATGGAGCCATTCACATGAAATATGGGACAGTTTCTCAGATTCATGGTAACGTATGCCTTCTTCTCTCTTAAAACAATTCTTCCTGAGGGCAAGTGTTTCATTAAGCTCCTCAGAGGAGTGTAAAAGCCTGTGCTTTTAAAGCAAAGGGGGAAAGCTATAGCACTAAATTTTCTTCTAAATTACTAGTCAGTGTTTTAAAACCTTCCCCCTAACGCTTCTTTCTAACCTCATCACCTGCAATGGCGTCTTGCTGGTGCCTCCTTCACGGGGGAGGTGGCAACGTGCATTAAGCCTGAACAGCTGCCAGGTTCTCCAAGGCCCTTTCCCTCTTCCTTGTATTTTATCCCCAAGCCATTTATCCCTTCCCCGCCAGCGTATTCAGCCTTGTGCTGCTGGAGAAACCCTGGCTATAATCAGCCCAGAAACCCACCTACCTGTTCCGAGTTCCTTTTTCACCAGCTCACGTTCCTTCCTTCTCAAAGCCAGCCTGAAGGCTTTGTGAAATCACAGTGATTCCGCAGGCCTGGAGGGATGGCTCACCCATCAAGAAGCATGCGCTGTCCAGGCACAGGACCATAGTTCAGTTGCGAGCACCACCTGTAACTACAGTTCCAGGGGATGCAGCGCCCTCTTCTGGCCTCCGGGCTCACCTGCACACAAGTGCAAACCCACCCACACATGCACATAAATGAAAATATTCTAAAATACACAGAAGTTTGAAAGGTGGCTTATCAAACACGCAGCCATCACTACAAGCCTGCAGGTGATGTGCAGACATTTCTTTGGACTCAGTGGAGTTAAGCAGATACAGGAGGGTATGTATGTTCCAGATTCAGAACAGGGATCAAAACCATCGGTGGGAAAACAGGTGGACTTTGGTTGAGGCAAAAGGTGAATGAGTTTCTAGTTGCTGGAACGAACTAGCGGCGAAGCACTCAAGGTTCTTAGGAGGGATGTGGGTGGCTGAGTACAGGCAGTCTGCACTGCCTATCAGACCTAACGGAAGACAGACTCCCACTAACCCACTGATAGCTGAAGAGGGAAGTGGTAGAACCAATTTAAATCAACGCTGTGTTTTTATTTTAACCAGCATATGGTAACATTCCACCTACAGGTATCCACGGAAGAAAAAGCTAAGTATGTCCCTGAGGTGGTTTGAATGAGAACAGCCCCTGTGCGCCCAATGCTTGAATACTCAGTTGTCACTCGGTGGAAATATTTGGTAAGAATATTGTTGTGACAGAAATGAATCCCCAAAATGACTGAAGCAAAAGCACAAAATAAATGTGTGCGTATAGGATGATCTCACTCATATAAAATTTTAGAACTAATGAAGAATGACAAAAAGCTGATCGGTGTTTAGAAATATGGACAGAGGTTGCATACAGAAAGAATTACATAGAGAAAGGATAAATTGGATAGAAATTTTGTTATAAGGTGATATAATGACTTATCTATGTACCAAACTACAAATCAAATAGTACATTTTTTTTCTATTGCTTTGGAGCCTGTCCTGGAGCTCGCTCTGTAGACCAGACTGGCTTCGAACTCACAGATCTGCCTGTCTCTGCCTCCCGAGTGCTGGGATTAAAGGCATGTGCCACCAACACCCAGTTCAAATAGCGCATTTTAATATGCAGTGTTTGGCATATAAACAATATTTTGTTTTTGCAGTGTTGTAAGTTCATTCAGGGTCTTAAGCATTAAACTTCAGTTCTAGTCCTAAATTATATTCAATAACATCTTTTAATGAAAATGCATTGGAAGAAAAACCAGATATCTAAAGAAAATCAGAAAAATTTTGAAATTGTAGTTACATGTCTAACATTTAACTATAATCATGGCCTTTATCTTATTACATACTCATGTAAGGTTGGCATGGGTTTCACATCTAGAAGTTTAAATAAAGACTAAATCCCAGATGCTTTGTTTCTAAAATCAGTGAGAAAAATTAGAGACTAGCATCATGAAAGAAATTATTTTACATTATATGTAATATTATAATAGATAGCTCATATTATGCTCTTTATACTATTCATACAGCCTAATGCCTTTTACTTTCTCTATGATTTTTATTTGAATATTTCACATGTGCATAAATTCTGCTTGCTTTCTCTGCACTATCCTGTCTCCCTCCCTCCATCTCTCCTTCCCTTCACCCTACCAATCATAATTGATTATGTACCTATATCACTCTATACCTTGCCTGACATATGCCAGACCCAAGCTGTCTCTGATGGAGTGGCATCAGCCATATGGCAATCTGAACTCTTTCTGACTTCCATGGGACCACCTTCTCTCAACAATCTTCAGATTTTGAATCTATCAGTGACTTAAACCATTCATCAGGTCAGAACCATCATGAGCTAATAATTGCAGGATAAACCCCAGATGTGGCTTTATTAATAGTTTAGGCATTTCTCAACTGCTGGGGTCCATAGACGTGGCTCCCTTTCATCCTGACTTAAGGTCAGAGAGTTGGAGCCCATTATTGCTCCTTCAAGGTTAAACCATTGAATGTTTGGCCTAAAGTGTGGCTATTGTGTGTCTTGCTTTGACGACAGGTTATTTGGCCTAAAGTGTAGCTAATGACTGCCGCACCTTGACAGCAGGGTATTTGGCTTAGGGTGTGGTTTTCAGATGTTTTGGGTTTTGAGAAGGTAATTACAATTGCTTCTTGTTTGTATCATGGTAAGGAAGTATTTTGCCTTCCCCCCTTTTGATTGGAGTGTATAAGAACTTTGAGTAATAAACTTGGGGCTGATCCTGGTATTCTCTGGGTGCCCTCCTAACTCTTTATCTTGTTCCTTGTCTAATTCTTTCTTCAATCCACACTCCTCCTTCCAAGCACAAACTGGGTAAGTCTGCTGAATCAGACACTCAACTCAATCTAGAGATAATCAAAATGGGTCATCAAAGAGGCATTATCCTGTTGTTGCAAGACAAACCCTTTCTCAAAGCTGTGATGATGTAATGCCTCAAACTCTTACTCACTAGGAAGTATACGTGATGACTTCATGAAAACAAATAAATAAATAAATGATTGTGCAGAACAACCTCCTTCATAAAGCATTGAGTACTTCCTAGTCTACCTTTCAGAATTAAGAAATTCAGTGGAGAGCTGACCATACTCCCACCACAATTGTGGTGGTCAATGTGTCAAGCACTGAGATTGTGGTCAGATGACCTGGACCAGTCTGGCTCTGGGGTCCTTAGCACTGTGCCTGGAGACATAGGGCCCAATGAATATATCCATCTCAAGAAATTGAAAGATACTATGAAAATCAGACATTCTAAGTTTTTAAAGGGATAAGTCTAATGGGTAGAAAACAAGAGGAGACAGCACAGATACAATTTACCTTGTGACTTTTTTTAAGACACAGTGTGATTTATAAATTGAGCCTTTCCCCCAATTTATAAATTGTCCCAAATATCATTAACTACACTGAGACATCGAGACTAAAACGATGAAAATTAATCTCATTTATTATTCAGCACCTAATGAACCATGTGAGCCACAGAAATTATTTTTAAATCCCATTATCTATATACATCAGAAGAAATATTTGCTCTTAAAGATTTAAGATTTGAATCTTAGAGAAACTGAGCTGACTCATAAGAAAAATGAAGAAGGATTAACCAATTATCATGTGGAAATTCTCCCACAGGAATGGACATTGTACTGGCTGGCTTTATGTGTCAACTTGACCCAAGCTAGAGTCATCAGAGAGGAAGGACCCTCAGCTGAGGAAATGCTCCATGAGGTCCACAAGCTGTGAGACTTTTCTAAACTAGTGATCAATGTGCGAGGGCCCAGCCCATGTAGGTGGTCCCGGGTTCTGTAAGAAAACAGGCTGAGCAAGCCATGGGGAGCGAGCAGTAAGCCTCTGCATCAGCTCCTGCCTCTACATTCCTGTCCTGTTTGAGTTCCTGTCCTGACTTCCTTCAAAGATGAACAGCAATGATGAACAGAAGTGTAAGCCAAATGAACCCTTTCCTCCCCAAGTTGCCTTTTGGTCATGGTGTTTCATCACCGTGATAGCAACCCTAACTAAGGCAGGCATACAGATTGTCAGTGTGTCTTGCATTGGAGGATAGAGAAAACCATGGTTACACAGAGAACTGCTGGTTAGGACCAGCCAACTTCACAATCCAGTAAGCAAAACCAAGAGAGTATGAGTCACCTATGGTCATCACTGCCACCCCACTTCCTTGTCGTATTCTGATGTAGCCCTGTAAACTGGATCTGCTGGGGATAACTGTGGCAGCAACTGTATTTATGATGGCCCTTCTCACAGAAACTACAAGTTACATTTTCTCTTTTCATAAATTTTTATGAGACTTTCAGCTTGATTGTAGTGCGGTTGGGGAGGCACATGGACAACCCTGAATGTGTGGGGGTCAGAGGACAACCTGTAGGCGTTGGTTCTCTCCTTCTACTGGCATGAGTCCCAGGGATGGATCACAAATCACCCAGGCCTGGTAGCAAGTGCTTTCATCTGCTAAGCCACTTCAGTGACCCGAGTCTGTGTTTCCTCAGTTTCTCTCTTGGGGCTGATGTGGGCAGGTAGGTCTGCACCCCGCTTTCTGTCTTTACTTTAGAATGGTTTAATATATGTTTCCTGATCTGGGGTGTAGAGTATTCACATTGCATATGCAAGGCCTTGTATTTGATCACTGACATTGAATGATAAGCTAATTAAAATATCAAGGATGGTTCTGAATAACTCTATTGTAGTAACTCACATATATTAGCAATAGTCCTTTTTTTTCTTTTTTCAGTACTTGTTTTATTGTGTGTATATGAGTGTTTTGCCTGCATGCGTGAGTACCATATGCATGCTTGGTGCCTGAGGAGGTAGTGAGCCTCTATATGGGTGCTGGGAATTGAACCCTAGTCCTCTGTAAGAACAGCAAGTGCTCTTAACCACTGAACCAACTCTCCAGGACCAGCAATCGTCCTTTAAGGATGACGAACAAAGCCTCAGCTGTCCTTCCTTATTAATGAACATCTATCAGTGTTTCCACTCCCACTTTGCTACATCTGAGCAAAAGTATCAGTGTCTAGGTAAGTTTCTTAGTTTTCCCAAGTTTGTGTGCACGTGTGTGCGTGAGTGCGTGCGTGTGTGGTGTGTGTGTGTGTGTGTGTGTGTGTGTGTGTGTGTGTGTGTGTGTGTGTCCTGGTTAGCTTAGGGCAAGACAGACAAGTCAAGCTGAAACTGACTTGAAAACTTCTTCCCTACTGGATAGCTTTCAGGCCACTGAAACGTGCTAGGCAGGGTGTTGCCAGGGAAAGCCATCAACTGTATTACCCAGCAGTGAATACTGACCTGCTATACAAGATGTGCCCGTGTGAAACAGTGGCATGAAGGCTATGGAGGCAACCAATAGCTTCCGAGTCGAATCAGACAGGCAACTTTAAAAGACCTTTGAGGGGCCTCAGCTGGGGTACCCAGCAAAGTGATATAAACAAGTCTGCAGTTCTTGCCTAGTGGACCTGGAAGGCAAGAGGTTGTGGTTTTAGACAGCTTGTAGCATCGCAGTGCAGAGGGGATTTGTCTTCTTCCTATGCACCTCCAGCATAGGTTTTCCTAGGAATAAGGACACTACCAGACATTTGATTTTCAGAGACAAAATTGGAAAATTCTGGGCAAATCCTTATGATGCAAGAATTTAAAAGTATTGGAGAAATAGACCTTACTGAGGGAATCAAATTAACTAATCTAAAAGAAGGCACACTAGAAGACCCATCTAGCCCCTCCCTGTCTGCCCAACATAACTCCAACTGCCTCTCCTCTCCTTGTCACCATATCCTGACACACACCTCTGGCAGAAGCCTCCTGTCCCGCCAGAGGCCAGGCCAACATCCTGAACCCCAGGCGAGACAGCCCCCACCCCTCCTGCGCTCACCCAGCATAACTTTAACTGTTCTTCCTCTCTTCATCACATCTCTGGTGGAAGGAAGCCTTCTACCCCATCAGAGGCTATGCCAGCTCCCTGAAAACCAGGTAAGCCACACACACACCCCCACCCTGTCTGCACCTACCCAGCATTTCCCCAAGTGCCACTCCTCTCCTTGTCACCTTATCTCAACCCATGCCTCTGACAGAAGTCTCCTACTCCATACTCCATTAGAGGCCAGGCCAGTATCTTGAACCCCAAGTAAGAATGCCCCTCACCCTGCCTATACTTACCCAACATAACTCCAACTGCCCTTCCTCTCCTCATCACCACATTCCAGCCCACACCTCTAGTGGAAGCCATCTACCCAGAGGCCAGGCCAAAATCCTGAACCTGAGAAACAAGACCAACTCCCTAAAGACAGGCAAACGTCTCCTACTCAACCAGAAGCCAGGCCAGTATCCTCAACCACAGAATACCCCCTGACCAGATCAGAGGCCACACACATAGCCAGAACTCCAGTCCCAAACTTGCACAGCAAGCCTCTGATAGGTCAAAGGCCATCATAAGTCCAGCCCCCAATGTAAGCAGAGACTCTCTACTCAATTACAGCCCATGGCTGCCAGAAGAACAGAGGGGAAACAGAAACCAAGGAAGAAAACACCCATCCAACAAAAGCAAATCCAGAAATTGGCACCTAGAACTATAATCACTCCAAATCCAGATACCTACATATAAGAGTAAGAACACAAACAATACCATCCAGGGCAATAAGTCACCACCAGAGCTCAGCTATCCCATTACAGCAAGCCTGGAATATTCCAATACAACTGAGCATAAGAAAATGACCCTAAAACCAACTTTATGACTATGGTAGAGGTCTTTAAAGAGGAAATGAATAAATCCTTTAAAGAAATTGAGGAAAAGACAATCAAAAAAATTGGAGGAAATCAACAAATCTCTTAAAGAGTGCCAAGAAAATCAAGAAAAAAAAGTTGATGGAAACCAACAAAACTATTCAAGAACTGAAAATGAAAACAAAAACAATTAAAGCACACACACACACACATACACACATACACACACACACACACACACACACACACACTGAGGGAACTCTGGAAATGGAACAGCTAGGAATCTAGATAAGCAAATAGGAACCACAGATGCAAACATCACCAACAGAACACAAGATATAGAAGAGAGAATCTCAGGCATTGAAGACACAATAGAAGAAATAGATACATCAATCACAAAAAAAGTTAAATCTAAAAAAAATTCCTAACACAAAACCTGCAGGAAATCAGGGACATTATGAAAAAAAGCAAAGACAATAATCATAAGAATAGAGGAAGGAGAAGATTCCCAGCTCAAAAGTTCAGAAAATATCTTCATTATATCAAAGAAGAAAGTTTTCCTAACCTAAAGAAGAAGATGCCTATAAAGGTACAAGACACTTACAGAATATCAAATAAATTGTACCAGAAAAGAAAGATACCTTGCACATAATTACCAAAATAACAAACACAGACAACAAAGAAAGAATACTAAAAGCTGCAAGAGAAAAAGACCAAACAATGTATATGGACAGACATAGTAAAATTACACCTGACTTCTCAGTGGCAATTCTAAAAGCCAGAAGGGTCTGGACAGATGTGCTGCAGACTCTAAGAGACCACAGATGCCAGTTCAGACTACTGTACACATCAAAACACATCAAAACTTTCAATCGCCATAGATGGAGAAAACAAGATAAAGCCAAATTTCAATGATATCTATCTACAAATCCAGCCCTATGGAAGGTATTATAAGAAAAACTTCAAGCCCAGGAGGTTAACCACACCCACTAAAACACAGGCAATATATAATCCTGAACCAGCAAAACCCAAAGAAGGAAAATGCACACACAGGCACACTATCGTCAACAGCAACAACAAAATAACAGGAATTAACAATCGTTGGTCATTGATAGCCCTCACTATCAATAGACTCAACCCCCAATAAAAAGACAGACTAACAAAATGTTTGTGAAAACAAGATGCATTCTTCTGAAGCATAAAAGAAACACACCTCAATATCAAAGATAGACATTAGCATAAATGGTTGGGGAAAGATTTTCTAAGCAAATGGCTCACAGAAGCAAGTGGGTGCAGCTATTCCAATAGGTAACAAAATATACTTCAAGCCAAAATTCATCAAAAGAGATGGGAAAGGACTCTTCATACTCATCAAAGCGAAAAATCCACCAAGATAGTATCTCAATTCTCAACAACTATGCCCCAAACACAAGGGCACCCACTTTTGTAAAGAAAACATTATTCAACCTTAAATCACACATTGATCCTCACATGTTGTAGTGGGAGACTTCACTACCCCAGTCTCACCAACGGACTGGTCATCCAGATGAAACCAAACAGAGAGATACTGGAGCTAACAGATGTTATATGACTCAGATGGGCCTAATAGATACCTACAGAACATTTCACACAAACACAAAAGAGTATACCTTCTTCTCAACACCTCATAGAACCCTCTCCAAAACTGACCAAACACTCTGTTACAAAGAATGTCTCAAAAATTGAAATAATCCCCTGAATCCTACCAGACTACCACAGATTAAAGTGGATTCCAACAATAACAAAAAGCCTACAAACACATGGAAACTACACAACTCACTACTGAATTACCATTGTGTCAAGGAAGAAATAAAAAAATAAACTAAAGACTTCCTGGAATTCAATGAAAACGAATGCACAACATACCCAAACCTATGGGACACTTTGAAGTCGGTACTCAGAGGAAAGTTCATAGCACTAAGTTCTTCATAAAGAATTTGGAGAGTTCTCACACTAGTGACTTATTGGTACATCTGAAAGTTCTAGGGAAAAAAGGAAGCAAACACACCCAAAAGGGGTATACAGCAGGAAATAATCATAGTAAGGGCTGAAATCAATAAAATAGAAACACAGAGCAATACAAAAAAAATCAATGAAACAACGAGTTGGTTCTTTGAGAAAGTTAACAAGATAGCCTTTATCCAAACTAACTAAAACACACAGAGAGTATCCAAATTAAGAAAATCAGGAATGAAAGTGGACATAACACCAAACACTGAAGAAATCCAGAAAAATCATTAGGTCATAGTTCAAAAACCTGTACTCCAAAAAATTGGAAAATCAAAAGAAAAATGAACCTATAACTCCTAAGGAAATAGAAGCAGTCATTAAAAGTCACCCAACCAAAAAAAAAAAACCAGGGCCAGAATTATAACACAAATTCAAAGAAGAGTTAATTTTATATCAGAATTATACCAGAATTTCAAAGAAGAGCTAATCCCGATACTCCTCAAATTAATCCCCAGAATAGGAACAAAAAAACATTGCCAAATACTTCTTAAGAGGTCACACTCACCCTGATAGCCAAACTACAGAAACACTCAACAAATCATCCTGAGTGAGGTAACCGAAACCTGGAAACACAAACATGGTATGTACTCACTTATAAGTGGATATTAGCTGTAAAGTAAAGGATAGCCATGCTACCATCCACAGACCCAGAGAAGCTAGGTCACAAGGAGTGCTCAAGAGCGGGGACATGGATCTCCATGTGAACTGGAAATAAAAGAGATTTTTTGGGTGGACTGGGGGCAGATGGGGTAGGAACAGGAGGGATGGGGGAAACCAAGGGAGGAGTACTAAAAGAGATGACTGGAAAGGAGGTGCATTTCAGGGTCAGGGAGAAACCTAGTGCAAGGAAATCTCCCAGGAATCTACAAATGACCCTGGCTTAGACTCCTAGCAACAGGAGATACACAGCCTGAACTGGTCATCTGCTATGACCAGGCAAGACTTCCAGTGGAGAGATTAGGACACCATTCCAGCCACATAACCTTCTCTCTATAGTCTGTCCTGCCTATGGGTTGTGCTGGGTTAAGGATGGCACAGAGGTTGTGGGAGTGGCCAACCAATGACTGATCCAGCCTCAGACCCATGACACTAAAGTGAGCTCACCCCTGACACTGCCTGCAGCACCTGTACCCAGAGGCTAGATGGCTCTGAGACCTAGAATAGAACCAAACATGACTAGAGAAAGAAAAATGTCAATGTAATGATGTCTAATGGTATTGTTACACTCATAGATCGGTGCCTAGCCCAATTGTCATCAGAGAGGCTTCATCCAGCAACCATGGAAACAGATGCAGAGACCTACAGGCAAATATTAGGTAGAGGGTCTCTGTGGAAGAGGGAGAGGAAGAATTGTAGGAGCCAGGGGGTCAAGGGCACCACAAGAAAAAACACAAAAACAATTAACCTGGGAGCATAGCTGCTCACAGAGAATGAACTGACAACCGGGGAGCCTGCACGGGACTGACCTTGGCCCTCTGCATATATGTGACACTGTTTGCGTAGCTTGGTCTTCTTCTACAACTCCTAACAGTGGAATCAGGGGCTGTCAGCTGTCTCTGACTCTTTTGCTGGCCTTTGGGACCCTATTTCTCATATTGCCTTGCTCAGTCTTACTACAAGGGAGATACTTAGTCTTACTGCAATTTGGTATGCCATGCTTTGTTGATAGCCATGGGAGGCCTGCCCTGTCCTGAATGGAGACTATGGGGCAGAAGGAAGTGGGTGCAGAGAGGACGTAGGGGAGAGACTGGGAGGAGAGGAGGGACGGGAACTTTTAAATTTAGGGTAAAATACAAGAGCACTCATAATTTCCTAGCTAACTACCGGTTAGTGATTTGGTCAAACGCGACTCTTCTCTCTGCCTCAGGTACTCTCCTCTTAGCTCATGAGCATCCTTGCAGCTGCCTCCAATTTCATGGCGGAAGTGCAGAAGCACGTTTCTGTATTGGAGAAAAACAGCCATTGCTCCCTAGAAGCCTAAATTTAAATCTCTATTTCTTAAAACACTTTCAAAAAAATTACAAAAAGATGTGACATTAACACCAAAAAAAAAGCTATTAGATATGCAAATGGTCGTCTGTGACAGGAAACCTAATGAAGACAGCAGACAACAGGAAGTCTCTTAGAGTAGTTGGGAAATGTCACAGCCGGGAAAGGTGGGTGGGGCTGAGTCATGACTGGGGAATTATCACTTAATGTCTTCCAATTATCTACCAAATGACTCCAGGTGATTCTTTTAGTAGACACTCTTTATAGCACATCTGAAAGTAATTAATCCAGGAAGAAAGAAATGCAAATTACTTAAAAAGAAATGGCAGCAGTATTTATGTACATGCTTGGATATTTTATATTTTATACTTAGAAGAGGAGATCCTGAGTCACGAGGTCCAGAACTTCCCTGCTTCTGTGCGGACTCCAGAAGCATCTATGGATCTAGAATGAAGACAAGACTGACACTAATTCTTCAGTTCAAAGGGGCACTGTGTCCCATTTGGTGGAATGCATCATTTCCCTTTTAACAGTTTGGACCAATGGTAAGTTCTCATTTTCTTCACATTTTACAACAATGGCTATTAAATGGGTGTTATGTGCTCCTTGTACATATGTTCAGATCGGCAACAAAATAAAATGCATTTTGGACTCCTAGAGGATGCTTGAGGAAGATGGAAGAGGAGAGAGGTACTGAATGGCTGGCTCATTGATGCTGGCTGCTCTTGAAGAAGACCTGTGCTGCCCAAATACTCAAGGATACAAGTAGAGTTTGCCATAGAAGATGGGAGTGAGGTTTCCTATATGGAATGGGAGTGGAGTTATCCATAGAGAACGGTAACCACATCCTGAAAGAAAACCTCTCCCAGCAGCTATCAGCTCTCCCTCTCCCAGTAACCAATGGGTCCTCAGCTAGGTAGGGGACTTCCCTACACCATTTTTTAAACATTATGTCTATTTCTCTGATAAATACATAAAAACATTGTGCTTAGATCAAACCCACTCTGCAATCCCCTCTCCAACTATTCCTAGATACCCCCACCTCCAAAGTCCCCACCCATATTTCTGTCTTTAGTAGTTCTAACTAGTGCTGCCTTCATGCTCGTGGGTATGGTACATCCATCGGAGCATGGGCAATCCACCATGGGCCACACCACTCCCTCAGGGACCATCAACTACAAACAGCTTCTTGGCTAGGGGTGAGTCTTCATGAGTCCCTCCCTTCTCCAGGATGGGATGTCCTCTGGCTTGATCTTCTGCGGGTCTTGTGTAGACAGCCCCTGCAGCTGTCATTTCATAATACCCCATCATGCCAAGAAGTCAACACTTTGCAGCAATTGTCCCCAAGCTCCAGCTCTTTCTGCTCCCTCTTCCTATGTGGTCCCCAGACCTTGGGGATGAGGGTGTGATAAAGATGTCCTTCTTAGGGCTGCGCACTGCACAGTTACCCTTTTCTACATGAAAGTACTCCTACTGATAAGGGTAAAAATAGAACTAGTCTATGTGAAGAAGGATAGTGTTTAGAAATCCATTTGATACTTATGTCCTTTTAGTCAAATAGTAGTAGTGGATCCTATGGCCTCCCCAGCCACAGATTCTTGGCCAGATTATGACGTTACTCTAGTGAATTTTACCTACAGAATTAAACTGTAAATTATTTGCATATATTCATAAGAAAACTATTGCCTTCTCACTTTAGCTTTGCATCTCCATTAAAATTCAAGGGGAACTCACTCACATAGACACACAAGACAAAGAACCAGTGCTCCAGGGCGAGTATATGTTATCTCAAGGCAGTCCCAATTTGATAATCACCATGTTCAACATGTTCTGTACCCAAAACCCAATGCATGAACAGGCAGGCTTCCTAAAGAAAATTCCTTTAGCAACACCAAAACTGCACGTTCCTCTCCTGGGAGCTGTTTGTTTGGAGCTGTTATATTGGAGAGAATATAGTGAACTTATACAAGATTAAATCTATGATAGTAGGGAAACACAGACAAAAGTTTCTAGGGAATATTTTCCGTTCTCTGTTAGACCTGTTATTATGTCACAGTGAAGGTGAGAATGGAGACATGTATGCATTTATAGTGTGTTCAAAAGCAAACACTTAACCTGTAAGAAGGAAAAATCCTTGAAGGGTATGCATGAAAGCCTTTAAGACAAATCTTTTTGATAATCTATAGTGTAACCTTTACCTGGAGGCATTTGATGAAGGTGAAAACCAAGGCACTGATCCGTTGCTGAGCTGTAGTAACAGGAGCAGAGATGGGCATAGGGAAGACTCTCCCTGGTGGAAACAAACCACGGAAACAACACTCTGTAATTCTTACTCACATTGTCACGTAGCTAGTAAATGCATAACAAGTATTCTAACAGACAAGATCATCATGAAACAGAAATCCCAAAAGGCAAAAGGATGTCAAATTAAAACAACAATGGGTTGGTGAATTAGCAGATTAGGATTTTAAGATAATTATGTAAGGGTTAATCAAGATGACTAAAATTTTAATGGCATTAAGGGAGAAATGGGAAAAATATGTTATGAGAAACTAGAAAATGCCATCTTTTGGGACTCTACCCACTGATTTGTGAGATGTGATCTCCAGGCTGATACTATCAGAAGTCAAGTTTGAGGTACATGTTGACTGTATCTACAAGTGGGCTGTGTTGGAAGAACATCTTTATTGTAATAGAAAAACTCAGACATGCCCTGTGTTGATTGTGAGGACAGAAAACTATTTGTATGTGTGTAGGGGGGAGTACACATTCTAGACTGTTGGAAATTAATATCCAATTATTAAAATGAACACATATGATTAGCAAAAACCAAAAAGCTACATAATCTTCTAAATCAATACAGAAAATTATTTGACAGCAACTACTCCTCATTTATGGTTTAGGAAAAATTCTAAACAAAATGTGCAAACACACAGGTGTTTAAAATATACATCATTTGCATGATAATTATATTTTTTAAATATAATTAGGGCTTATTGTTTATCACATTACCAGCGGGTTGTAATCCTAAAGGTATTCACAGAAATGAACTTTTGCAAATGGATGTATATCACTTCCCAGAATTTGGCAGTTTGAAATATGTACACCATACCATAGATACATTCTCAGGCTTCCAATGGGCTACTGCCCTCAGCTCTGAAAAAGCTGATTCTGTTATTACACACCTCTTAGAGGCGATGGCTGTTATGGGTATACCTAAAACAATAAAAACTGACAATGCTCCAGCATATGTCTCCAGTAAATTGGAACAATTTTTCAAATATTATATTATAAAACATGTAACTGGTATACCTTACAATCCCACAGGATTTCCCCAACAGGAGTCCATTCCCTATGGAGAGAAACTATTGCAGCCCAGATATGGGAAGGAGGACCTGGGCCATCCCCCAAATGACAGACTTTGATGGTCCCCCGTGGAGAGCCTCATTATCCCTGGGGAGTGGGTGTGGGATTGGTTGGGAGGAGGGTCAGTGGGAAGCATGGGAGAATGGGAGTGTGAGGGAATGGGGGGATTGATATGTATAAAAAATACTTAAAATTAAAAAAAAGAATATACTTCGTTTAAATTGTAAGTACAGAGTGCTAATGTAACCATGGGGAAATAGTTAAAAGGGGACCCTCCTCTGAAATGCACCACAATACTGTGTAAAACAGCTGAATTGATCAGTAGAGGAAAGTCTGCTTATGAACGCAGTATGAAAAGTTATCTTATTCCACACTATTGAAAATTAATATCACGCCATTAAGTTGAAAGGTAAATAGTCTATATCTTCAGTGGACAACACATGTGGGAGCTCAAGGTACAATTTTGGAGACAACAGAATAAAAAGAACTCCGCACGGGGATATGGGAAGCAGGGCCGTGCCAGGAAAGTGCAGAAGGCTGCACCTTCATCCATGATGGGTGAGAGCCGGGGTCCTTCCTCTGCATCTAATTATGTTTTAGCTGTAGCCCTCTCTGATCATCACAGCAAAAGATTAGTGAAAGCAACAATTGGGCCTTGGTCAGTCACAGGTCTGATATTCATTGTTAACGTTCAGGGACATACTTAAACATAATAAAAGCTATATACAGTAAACCAACAGCCAACATCAAACTAAATGGACAGAAACTCAACGCAATTCCTCTAAAATCAGGAACAAAACAAGGCTGTCCACTCTCTCCATACCTTTTCAACATGGTACTTGAAGTTCTAGCTATTGCCATACGACAACAAAGGGGAATCAAGGGGATACAAATTGGGAAGGAAGAGGTCAAACTTTCACTGTTTGCAGACGATATGATAGTTTACATCAATGACCCAAAGAACTCTACCAGGGAACTCTTACAGCTGATTAACACCTTCAGCAAAGTGGCAGGCTACAAGATCAACTCAAGAAAATCAGTAGCCCTACTATATACAGATGATAAAAGGGCTGAAAGAGAAATCAGAGAAACATCACCCTTTACAATTGCCACAAACAACATAAAATACCTTGGGGTAACGCTAACCAAACAAGTGAAAGACCTGTATTGTAAGAACTTTGAATCTTTAAAGAAAGAAATTAAAGAAGACCTCAGAAAATGGAAAGACCTCCCATGCTCTTGGATAGGTAGGATCAATGTAGTAAAAATGGCAATCCTGCCAAAAGCAATCTACAGATTCAATGCAATCCCCATTAAAATCCCAGCACAGTTCTTCACAGACCTTGAAAGAACAATAATCAATTTTGTATGGAAAAACAAAAGACCCAGGATAGCCAAAACAACCCTGTTCAACAAGGCAACGTCCGGAGGCATCATCATCCCTGACCTCAAGCTCTATTATAGAGCTATAGTCCTGAAAACAGCTTGGTATTGGCACAAAAATAGACAGGTAGACCAATGGAATCGAATTGAAAATCCGGGTATTAACCCACACACGTACGAACATCTGATCTTTGACAAAGAAGCTAAAAATATACAATGGAATAAAGAAAGCATCTTCAACAAATGGTGCTGGCATAATTGGAGACTGGCATGTAGAAGAATGCAGATCGACCCATGTCTATCGCCATGCACAAAACTTAAGTCCAAATGGATCAAAGACCTCAACATAAATCCAGCCACACTGAACCTCTTAGAAGAGAAAGTGGGTGGTACCCTTGAACGAATTGGTACAGGAGACAGCTTCCTGAACATAACACCAGTAGCACAGGCAGTAAGATCAACAATTAATAAATGGGACCTACTGAAACTGAGAAGCTTCTGTAAGGCAAAGGACACAGTCAGCAAGACAAAAAGGCAGCCCACAGAATGGGAAAAAATATTCACTAATTCCACATCTGACAGAGGGTTGATCTCCAAAATTTACAAAGAACTCAAGAAGCAAGTCTCCAAAACACCAAAGGACCCTATTAAAAAGTGGGCTGCAGAACTAAATAGAGAGTTTTCAATAGAGGAGTCTAAAATGGCTGAGAGGCACTTGAGAAAGTGCTCAACATCCTTAGCCATCCGGGAAATGCAAATCAAAACAACTCTCAGATACCATCTCATCCCTGTCAGAATGGCTAAAATCAAAAACACCAATGACAATTTATGCTGGAGAGGATGTGGTGAAAGGGGGACACTCCTCCATTGCTGGTGGGAGTGCCAACTGGTTCAGCCACTTTGGAAATCAGTGTGGAGATTCCTCAGAAAAATGGGAATAAACCTACCACAAGACCCAGCAACTCCACTCTTAGGCATATATCCAAAAGATGCCCATTCATACAACAAAGATGTCTGTTCCACTATGTTCATAGCAGCTTTATTTGTAATTGCCAGAACATGGAAGCAACCTAGATGTCCCTCACCTGAAGAGTGGATAGAGAAAATGTGGTACATCTACACAATGGAGTACTATTCAGCAGAAAAAAATAATGGAATCATGAGATTCGCAGGCAAATGGATGACACTAGAAGAAACCATCCTGAGTGAGGTAGCCCAGTCACAAAAAGAGAAACATGGCATGTACTCTCTCATATATGGATTTTAGACATAGATCTGGGGAGTGCCAGCCTACAATCCTATGGCCAGAGAGTCTGGGAAACAGAAACTTTATTTAGTGGCTGATCGAAGAAGAGGCAGACTCCCTTGGTTAAGTACTGAGCTGAACTCAAGAAAGCCAGTAACAGAGAGGGAGGACTGATGATCAAAGGGATTAAGACTGGGCTGGTTTAACCCCCAGAAACAGCTGACCAGACAAAGGCTAACTCTTGAATCCCAGGCATTAGCCTGGGAATCCAGCATGGGACTGATCAAGACCCCCCTGAATCTGGGTGTCAGTGAAGAGGCCTAGGGAATCTATTGAGCCTTGGGCAGCAGATCAGTACCCATCCCAAGTATACACACGGACTTTGGACGCCCATAGAACAATGTGAGGCGCACTCTCACCCTGAACTCTTGGGGAAGGGTCTAGGCCCTGCCCTATATGAAATGACACACTATGCACACCCCCATGGAGGGCCTCACCCTCCCTGGAGAAATGAGGGGATAACGGGGGGGGGGGAGGGCACGGGGGGAAGGGAGGGAATGGGAGAGGGACCTGGAACTGACTTGTGAAGCAACCTTGTTTCTTATCTAAATTTAAACTGGAAAATAAAATTTAAAAAAAAAACAAAGTAGGAAACCCATTAAAAAAAAAAACGTTCAATTCCAAATGGAGAAATTAAAAAGTAATCATGAGGAAGTAATGGCAATTGTGTTGAAAATATTTTAAAAGAGAGAAAGAAATGTTACTCCATGGGCAGAGAGTTTTTTAAACATCACAGATCTTGAACAGAAATAAAAATAAATTTTGTTGTAAATTCTCTTGTAAAAATTCACACTATTAATAAGATAACCACTCCTATTAATTTAGTTCATGTCAAATAGCACTTATAATTGTTTTATTTTAGAGTAAATTATACATGCAAAGATTGCATCTAGTAAAACTTTAAAGAAGACATGTTTTGAAGTAATAGGCAGTAATATCTTGTCCAAGACAGATTAAGTTTTGCACTACATATTTTAATCTGCATACTTCTGACAAGCTTATCTATTCCTTCACAAATAATGGGAGAACATTAAGTAGTTTTCTACTAATAGAATAAAGTTTCCTTCCAAAACTGAACAAATATGCAACAGAAAGCCCAAAATTGCAGTCCTGGCTTTTGCTGTGTAACTAAAAAGAGTAATTGAGAGAGAAGTGCTTAAAAACTAATTATATACTTTTTCTAAAACTCTACTGTTTAAAGTGTAGGACACATCTAGCCTGACATCTACAAACTC